AATATTAGGTTACAAATTACTTTGTATTTATGTATTTATTTATTTACTTACTTACTTTTGTTTAAAAAAAATTCAAAAGCCTTGTATCAACGGTTCAGGCTGGTGGTGGTGCAATGGTGTGTGGGGATATTTTCCTGGCACACTTTGGGTCTATTAGTACCAAATGAACATTGTGTCAACACCACAGCCTACCTGAGTATTGTTGCTGACCATGTCCATCCCTTTATGACCACAGTGTACCATCTTCTGATGGTTGCTTCCAGCAGGATAACACACCATGTCATAAAACGTGAATCATCTCAGACTGGTTTCTTAAACACAATGAGTTCACTGTACTGGAATGGCTCCACTGTCACCAGATCTCAATCCAATAGATCACCTTTGGGATGTGGTGGAACGGGAGATTCTCATCATGGATGTGCAGCCGACAAATCTGCAGCAACTGTGTGATGCYATCATGTCAATATGGACCARWATCTCTGAGGAATGTTTCCAGTTGAATCTGTGTCACGGAGTGTATTTTGAGGACTATATTTGAGGCTRKAGTTTGGTTTTGCAGGAAGGATAAGAGCTTCTTTGAACGTAGTTTRAAAATTGGGTTTTGTGTTTACAGTTTAGATAGAAAAGTGGATGGATGGTTTCCAGATATGCGTTCTAACAACTGAGAAAAAATGTAAATAAACCTGACCCTCGATGGCATTGTTGACCTCCTGAATGAAGAGCTGCAGCTTCATCACCAGTGTAGCCGCGTGAGCRTCCGCCTTCCCCGGCGCGTCCTTCTGCACCACCGTAAAGGCTCCGTTCACCCAGTCCTTCACATCAAAATCATCGTCCAGGAACTTCGAGAAATCCATCTCAGTGCGTTAAAAACAGGGTGCCAAGAGCTCCCCGGAGTCACCGTCTGTCCTGGTCCAGTCTGTGTGTCATCGACTGGACCAGAAGAAGCTCTTCCCAAACAGCGGCTTCGACACGAAAATAAAATAAATAGCCCAGGAAAATGAAATTAACATTACAACTAAATACAACTCCAACAATGCGATAGCCTCCTCCAGAGTTACTCTGAAATATCTGCGGCTTTAAAAGCTGCAATGTTCAACTAATGCTAGCATATCTTTTAACAGTGACAACAACTTCCTCTTTGTGCCTCGTGTTTACATTCCCCGGAAACTAATGGTGAAATTTTGGACCTACTAAAAACAAATAAACCAACATATAAATATATGTATTTAAAGAATAGCGACGAGGTTTGGGGGGTCGCTGTTGTGTTGTTTTAAATATATAGAACTGCTTTAAAATACTTAAAAGAAACAAGTAAATCAATGAAATTGACTTTGTGCCACACAAATTAAGATCCGTGTAGATACAACAGCAAGAAGAGTGCTAGTTGGATATTTTGCCCTATATTTTGCATTCAGGTAGTGCTCAGCTAAGCTTTTAGGTTATGTAATGCCCAGAACATGATGTGGTCTCAGGGAGTTGTTAAATTTACAAAGAATTTGCTTCAGAGTTTGAATTTAAATGCTGGATGTCAGATTGCATTTTTTGGTGTTTGTAAAAAAAAATTATATTTCACAAGACATATAAGTCTTTAAACAGTAAAGACAGTCTTCAAATTAGGCCTTTGAGTGTTTAAGACAAAGAGTGAATGCATGGTATCTTGGTTAGTCTTTGGATCCAATTTTAATCAATGTCCATGTTGATTTTAAAACAAGTTATCAGTGCATGTGCTGTGGATCCRTCTCAGCTACTACCACACCAAACAGAACAATATCTGTAAAATGGGCTAAATTGTAGCCATTTTTATGTATTTTACAGTTGAGTGTGCTGGTCATCTTGAACTGGGCTGACTCCAAAAATTATTTATGCTATTCTCCAATGGTAAGCAGCTCCCACCGCTCCTTCCCAGCTTGTTAACTGTTCATGGGGTTGAAATTGAGGTTGTCAGGTGCCACAAATATTTAGGTATTCAGATTGGTGAGAATTTATCATTCAAAACTCATATTGATAAATTGGTTTCTAAGCTAAAACTTAAATTGGGGTTTCTTTTTAGAAACAAAAATTGTTTCTCACACCAAGTCAGAACACCTGGTTACCTCAACTATTCTTCCCCTGATGGATTATGGAGATTTGCTTTTCATGAACTCTTCAGCCCAGCATTTAAAAAAAATGGATGCTGTTTCTCCCTGTGCACTGCGCTTCATGACAAAATGTAGCTATCAAACACATCACTGCACTTTGTATGCTACAGCAAAATGTCCATCTTTAACTGTTCGCAGACTCTCTCGCTGGCTGATTTTTATTTATAAATGCATTCTTGGGCATCTTCCATTATATTTATGCTCATTTCTGTCTAGAACCTGCAGCCATTGTGATCTGCGCTCTCAGGACTTCATTATGATGCAGGTGCCAAAAGTTAGAACTGAAC